TTAGCTTAGAGCTACCTGTAACCTCAAGGAGGTAAATGATAGGTAGTAAGATTGCAATACATGTATAGATCATAGTGATCTTGAGTTTTTAGAGTTGGAGGTTTTAGAAGTCTCCCAAAGTATGCAAAAGCTATGGCTTAACAAATATAAAGTGAGCACAATCCCGATATAGAAAGAGGCATAGAAGGAAATGATATATTGATGATGACATAAAAGAAAGTTAAATGAATCCTTACTTGAGAAGAAAATCCTGTCATATATCAAAATGCGGTAATAGTGTCAGTGTTAGTTGTCAATGTTAATATTATATTCCATAATTGCAAATTGGTATTTTCATATGCAATCAATTTGCAATGCTTGTGTGTTGTCATCTCATCCTTCAATATCTTGTCAACAATTATATATGAAGTGATAACACCATTTATGTAGTAGTTGTAGCAGTGCTCAAGAAAACCATAAAAAGCCATAAAAATGTCCTAACCCAAGAAAAAAAAGGCATATTAGGCATCTTAGAATCAAACTCTCAATTTGTTCACTAATTCCCATTAAATCAAGAGTTAGCTCTTCTATAGATTGGGTGTAGTAGACTTTAACTTGAGGAAACTCCCCATCATTGACTTTGTCAATAGCCTAAAAAACCTATATTCTACACTAGCCAATGCATTGTTTCCCAATCTTTACCATGAAGCAATAGTGGGTATGTGTCCATAACTTATTCTTGAATTTATTGTACATTCACACTTTCTAGACCTGTTGTTAGGCAATTGCTATAGTGTTTAAGAAAATTTTGTAATGAAGACATTTGTCTTGTCTGAAAAAAAAGAAGCATATTAGACATTGAATATAATAGCATTTTGTGTTTTTAAACAGTCTTGTCATACCAAGAGTAAGATCTTGCAAAACATGTGGCACTGCTCTTGAAGCATTGAAGGTAATCCTTCTATAGTAATAATATTCAAAATTTTATGTATAGGGAGTTCTAGTTTGACTTCATAAAAACCCCCAATCGAAAAAAGATTGTAATGTGATTATGGTGGAGGTGAATGTGGAATGTTGGTAAGCCTTATGGATGGAGGTGGAAACTAATATGAAATGTTAAGGACTCACTATGAGTAGCAATGACTTTTCTTTGAGGCATTTCTATATTAAAATTTTTTGGAGCGTAAGGATAACAAAAAATACTATAATAACTAACTTTTCTTTTAACATTATTTTAACTTTCTTAACATTTACATATTTATTGGGAATGAAGTTTATTTATTATGACAGTAATAATACTGAAATGTCAATCTCAGAAATGAGATTTCATAACCATAGTCTACTTATGAATAGAAGAGCTTCTAGAATTCTAGATACACATGCTAGAATATTTATCATTCTAATGACTATTTATATATATTTGTTTTTACACTTGTGCCAATTTTCTAGAAAAATACATAACAGGGAAATATAAACTATATTATAGTAGCAAAGTATGCAAGCATGTAGGCCCACATGTATTCTCTTATATGAGATTACCTTTCAATCTTGGAAACGTAGATAAACTTGATTCTTTGATGTGATATCACTTTTGAGTCTTTTAAAAGATTTTGATTTTTATTATTATTACTCACAAATGACTCTCAAAAAATGCTAGTGGGGATTCATCCCAAAAATATACCTTGGCCTTCTCATATAGGAGGATTGTGCTATAGACAGGCAATTAGAGTTTTTTTATATGAATTAATATATAAATTACAAATGCCATGGAAAGCTCTATAGAGTAGATTTATTAGTTCTTTTTTTGCTATTTCTATTCTTCATTTCTTTTGTTCTAGACTGTTGTTTTGGAAGTATCATGAGCATTTTTATCAAAATTGATAATGGTTTTTATATTTCCTGATGGGTAATAAGGATTAGGAGTGTAATATGAAAATTATGATAGTGAAATGAAATTAATATTCTCACATTAATTTGCCTTACAACTCTTTAGAATGAATGAATAGTATGTAAATATATATTGCCTGGACCAATATACACTATTAATGGCTACCCTTCAAAAAAAATTATCTTGATTCATATTGAAAGAAAATCAAAATATAATAGTTATAAAGATAGTTTTTAGTAAGAAAATAAATAGGTCCTCATGACCTTTGTCTTTTCTAAATAACTCAATCTAGTAAAAACTTTTGACGTAGGTATTATATATTTTAATATTTTAAAGTCTGTCAGAACTTTAATTTTTTTAACATAAATTTTCTTTGTAAGAGTTATAGTTGACTACATTGACTTGTGCTATACTGTGTCATATTACTATAGTATAGAAAACAAAGTGATTACTGCAAACTTATACAATATATAGTGTAAGATTTTCAATTGAGTCTAGAGTTCTAAAGGGTCTTGAAGTTGCCGGAGAATGGATTCTCTCAGCTCATAGCTATGCTTGTACTTTCACATTTTGAAGTTTCAACAATTACCTTTGGTTGATTGCTTTGGACATTGTTTTGCTTGTCTACAAGTGTAATTTTGGTCTTCCTTGATATCCTTGGACACATTAATTCATAACATTGAGACAACTTTCACAACATAATCCTTTATACATTCACCATAAGAGGTGTTTTAGTATTCTAGATGATCTTGCCTAGCTTTCCAGCTTTCCAGCCCCCTATCACCTTGCCCTGCACCATGTGCCACCTCTCTAATAAGCAAAGTACCTGTTTAAAGAAGTAAACTTACAGAATTACACACTACACAAATGCCTCCAGTTAGGCACCGAATGACCAAAAAACTAGATGCAATTTTGGACTGCCTACTATTTACCAGCCATCAGAAGAGCTGCAATCGTGAGTTCAAGATTGAAAATCATCTTTGTGGAAGGGTGAGTATTCAAGTTAAGACGTTTTTTTTATAATCATAGGGTATTCAGATCTCCAGCTCTAGCCATGCTTTGAGCAATGGTCGATACAAGGCGTTCAACACTGAGGAGTTCAAGCTGCTCCGAAATCTTCTGCGGATCTTAATAATATCAGAATCACTGGCCGCATTTACCCATGGCAATGGTACATGAAGACAGTCAAGTGCCACATATACCAGGCTTTCTAAATCGGAATGGATTCCTGGAGTTTGACTTCCAGAAAAAAAGCAAGTACCTGAATAAAGCCAATCAGGTACATTGGCGGGATGATCAATATCGGGAAGCCGGCTTGCTAATCCCCAGTCAATAAGTCGGTAACATCCCTTTTCGTCCTGGCAGATGTTGCGGGGTGCAACATCATTGTGCGAAATCCCATGCTCGCCATACACATGAGAAAGTACCATATAAATGGCCTTTGTCATATGGAAAACGTCTTCAGGCGCCATCGTGTCTCTGTTGATTTTCTGTCCCGCATCTTCCAAGAGTAACGCAGGAACCCCCCTCCAGACTACTGCCCTCGCCTTCACAGAGTCCTCTGGACACAGATACTGACGAATTAAAAGCTCTCGCTGAACCTGCTTGTACCGATCACCTACTGTTGCCGCTTTAATCCAGGCTTTCAATCTCGATCCATGGATTGTCACGGGGAATAGATACCGGTGCTCTTTCTCAGCTGCCTCAGCCTTAACCGGTCGAACTAGCTGTTCTTCATCAACACTTACTTCCATTGTCTCTGCTCCCAACCCAGCAGCACCACTAACATCACCTTGAAGCAAACTCTGTGGCAGGAACCCGGTTTTGATCAGAGCAATAACTAGCTCTTTGAGGACTTGATCGACCCCCCTTGAATCCATATCTAAACTCCTGGCCTCTCCTATCTTTATGTCGCTACCCTCCACCATTTTCAGTACCCGATTTTTGGATTTGGTGGAGTCAGTCCGGACGATTATAACATGCACGCCGTTGGATACAAACCCGTCTTGAGACTGCCTTGCCCTGTGAATTTCACCAATTTGGCCTCGAGCCGTTTGTAGAGGCGGGCTCAGAAGCTCCTGATTATCGTCGCTGAGAACAATACGCTGCTTTTTCTTGCTCATGCTGTTGTTCTCCTCGCTTTCATCGCTTTCGTCGCTCTTCTGACCAGACGACGACACCCTGCTTCTCTTCGCGCTGGTCTCCTCCTGAATGTCATCACCCTTCCGCTTCAGACTCTTCACATCTACTACGAACCTGCACCTCGAACTCGACCTTTCAACTTCAACCTCTACGTCCGGAATTTGCTTCCCGTTTGATGTCTTAACTGGGGCCAGAACCTTCACCAAAATATTAGGCAGAGCTTCGTCTTTGTCAAGGACCCGAAAAATACTTTCCAACAGCGCTGCAAAACAAAGGCCACAGGCAGCGTAGTGTTTGACTCTGACACTTGCCTCAGCCTCATCACAGGCATACATGCTCTTCCCTGCATTCAAGGACAAGGATTTGTAGCAAAGAAGAAAGATTAGAAAACAGTACCTAAAGGAACGCCAAGCTGGTCAGGCTCCGTTCCTTCCACATATGAAACTTGTAAATGTTCAAAGCCTCTTCCCTTATAGTCTGCACAAACATCTTTTCTGATCCGGTCCCAGCCTAAGATTTCCTCTTGGTTGAGTGTGTCAAGCACATATCTACCCCCAAACGTGGTTTGGCTCCCGTGGAACTCTGATGCAAGTGTGGAGACAACGTTTTAAACAAAATAAACAATAAACAAATAAACATACCAAGCGGCTTGGGCAGAAACGATCTCCACCGTATTGCATGCAAATCAGTATTGCCACGCAGGAGTTGATGCAAAGGATTCCACTTATCCAGTACAAGCTTGTTGAAGTCAGCAGCTTCACTGTCAGAGACTTCTCCATGTCGGAAATGGTATGAGTATTTTTTATGACGGTTTCTATCCTCCTCCTCTCCTCT